GAAGGTGCAGATCTGGGGTTGTTGGACATAAAGTATTATGGTAAACTGGGAGTGCTGTTGCTGTTGTCCCACTGCTGTCATGCATTCACTCAAGTTTGTTGACGGTGGAGCGAAGGGGTGCTAACATCTCAGGGAGCCCTCAAGTCTTTTTTTCCTTCTTGCTCTCCCATTTAGTTAGGCTGTAATAGTTAGACCTACTGTAGTCCCTGCTGCACTCAGTTAACATTGTACACTGTAATCAGTCTCTCTTAACAGAACTAACTCTCTGTGTGTTTCTTTGCCGAGCTGAACAACTGTGTGAACCATCCTGTGTGATCTGATGCTGTTGCTTCATCTGCCTTGATCATGTGCCCACTGCTGGACCAGTTTGACCACCATGGAGTTTCCTGCTGTATAACGTTGTGCAAACCTCACCTGCATGCTACTGACACTCCTGGTGATTCTGCTGAATGCACTAAACTATTTAATCATAGCCATTGCTTCACATGCTTTCCCCCTTTTCTGTATTGTAATATATTATACTAATGGTAAAACCTTATTCTCTGTTCATACTGCTTGTGTTGTTGTTTTGCTATTTGGTGCTGACCAGAGGAGGATGGATTCCCCCTTTTGAGTCTTGGTTCCTCTCAAGGTTCCTTCCTCTTGCTCTTAGGGAGTTTTTTTTGCCACTGTTTCCACTGGCTTGCTCATGGGGGCTTGCACCTGGATTTTCTGTAAAGCTGCTTTGTGAATAAATAAACAAACATTGACTTGACTTGACTTGAGGAAGGGCTAAAGAAAGTAAGGCCAATTATGGTCTCCTGGAACTCATGATTTCACAACAGCGTTTCTAGCATCAGTTAGCATTGGAATGGTCAAAACAAATTATCTTTGTGACTTTGAATGTGGCATGATACACTATCTGTCCTAAAGTAGAAGTTAATTCAGCCCAGTGAGATCCAGTCAAAAGTCAGATGTGGTTGCGTCTGATTTTCCTGGAGTTTTTCAGACTACGCCAAAAGTCTTTATAAACTGATGGCTCAAAAAAGGCCTGGCAGGATAGGCCAGCTACTAGGGCAGAGATACTGGCAGGAATGACAATGTCTTGATAGTCTAGTGGATAATACCATGACTTAGCACATAGAAGAATGAAGGTAACTGAAGGAGTGAATGTAAAAATGCAAAATATAAGGCAAAGAAATATGTCACTTGAATGTCTGATACAAGCTTCAAATGTCCACACCTAGACTAAAGCCATTCATTGTGAATGTACATCCCTGCTAATGTGATGCTCACATAGCATTGCAAACTCCATAAGGCCAGTGGTAATTAGCATTATTGTAACTTTAGAACATGCACAAACAATGGTTTCCGGTTGTGAGGATATAGAGAGCGGCCGTGTCTGTGAGGAGTCAGCAAAATAACTTAAAATACACCAAACACTTCATTTCATTACTGCAACCCAGTTGGGGCGTTGTGCAAAATATAAATAAAAATAAAAATGCAATAATATGCAAATCATTTAAACCCTATATTTAATTGAATATGGTACAAAGACAACATATCAAGTGTTTAAACTGAGAAATTTTATTGTTTTTTGAAAATTATATGCTCATTTTGAATTTGAAAATAAGAAAATCCTTACCCTAGACGTCTTGAGGATAGTGGCAATCTAACATATGAACACTTCATTAAGCCCTTTTGGGTTTACTTTATAATTAATATGTTGGGTGACAGGGAGCGGCTGGATGGCCTGTCATTAGGTTTACATGGGACTAAATGGCTCAGTAAAGTGAGCAACGATATTCAGCCACCTTAAAAGCTTGAAAACTGATATTGCGTTCCTACAAGAAATGTTTACTGTCCCAACTGGGATGATGTAGGGTTTGTGTACAAACTTATTTCCACACTAATAAATCTGAACTTACAGCACTTTGGGGGGTGACCCGAATTGTGTAATGAAACCAGTTTTAGGTTGCTCTTGTTTCAAATTACATAAACCTAAAATTGCCACAGAACTGTCGGCAACTGAATCAAGCAGGATGTATAGATCCTTGCCGTTTTTTAAATCCTCATAGCAAAGCCTTTTCCTTTTTTCATGTGTTCACCACTGTTATTCTAGAATAGATTACTTTTTCTGACATAAGTCTGAGTTGTAGGTGTGGGGAGACAGAAAGGGAACCAGTGAAAGAAAAAAGAAGCACATTGTTTACTGTTCATGTATATCATGCTGTTGTATGCAGAGTCGTTTACCCCCTCAAATGAGGTGTAGCTTTGCTTTTTGCACCCATTTTCAGGCTTCGGCCTATTCTTTGCCGACTTCTGTATTTTGAGCTTATAATAAACGTCTCTGAGCTCTATTAACCCTGTCTCTGGTGTGTGTGTGTCCAGCCCAGCTGTGGGTTCCATTCACACTAATATAATCTAACCTACCCTAAAGAGTTCATTGAAAAATAAAAAACAAGGACAATGCAAATTACATCAAAATGCTAGCTAGATATTAGCCTAACTTATCATCTCCTTGTAAAAACACAGAAAAGATTTGTTAGAAGCCATACAATGTTTGAATGTGTTTTTAATGTAAGCAGAGTTTAAGAGGTAAATTCAGAATCTTATCAAAGGATTTGGTGGCACCCCTAGATTGTTGTCATGGCACCCACTTTGGGAAAGTCACTAGAGAGCACATTGTAAGAAAGACCGCAGGGCACTGCACCTAATTTTCGTCACTTGGATTTTCTTTTGTTCACTGCAAGGGCACTTCATTTTGTTTTCTCACTTTGAAGGATATCTTTGAAGGCATCTTTTAGGGAATGCCAAGTTTATCCCATTATGAGGGCACCTATATGGCACTACATCACACTTTCTCCACTGGAGGTACATCCATTAGGAAACTTCTCCACATTCTCACACAAAGGATGTAGGGACATCCTTTACAGCATGGCATCATATTTTATCCACTGGAGGGGCACTTCTCCATTAGAGGAGCCTAAAGTGCACCTAATTGAGCACTTCACCATGTTTTCTCATGTGTAGGAGTAATCTATGCAGCATCACATTTTGCCCCCCTTGGAACACCCTTGGAACACGTAGGGGCAGTATAGAGGACACTTCAAAACGGCACCCTTTTCCAGTGGAAGGGCACTCTTGGGGAATGTTAACTTTAGACCATTGTAAGGGCATCTTATACGGCTCTGCATCATGTTTTCTCCACTGGTAGGGCATTCGTTAAAACCTTATTGAATTTTCTTGTCTAGAGGGCATGTCATCATAATTTATTGCACAAAGGGGCACCTTAGAGGGCACTCGATCATTTTTTACAACGGGAATAACAGCCAACAGGGCACTTCTCGTTTTTGCTACCCTAGAGGGCACTTTTTTAACCACTGGCGGACTCAGGGTGGGCATCCCTACCCTGCATCCACCAGTGTTGGTGGGCTTTCTTGTATGAACTCCACACTTCAGGTCCTGCCATTCCAAAGCATGAAATTTCTTCTGCTTGAACCATTCTTTCCCTGACTGAAATCACAAAAATAATCCACGAGAGGCCATGCGTTACTGCAAGTTTTATCATGGGGAAGGGTGTTCTTAGGAATGACGCGAAACTGGAAATGGCAGCCAACATAAAATATGGTAAAAATACACGTTTTAGAAAATTATTTACGTTAGTATTAATTACAACCAATATAAACATTATAAAGTATTTTGCCATAAAAAAGTAGTTACTTTAGAGTTTGGTATTCTTGCCAAGCAACCACGGACCACTAAATAAGGATAAGAAGGTTCCATCTTCCATCACTGTATACTGCGGTCATTTCGTGAACTTTTTAACTTTCTGTCGTATAACAGTGAATATAACACAGCACAATGTAATGCATAGACTTTCGCTTTATAAGCACTTTTTGGTCATCAAATTACCACTGCAAATCTTATACAGCACCAATCTTACAGCATCCCTCTTCCCATGCTGAGTCTGAATCTCAACTGGCTCCCTACTCTCTACATAGTGCACAGCGTAGAAACTGAAAAACTGGCTCCTGTATCCAGTGGGTAATATCGCTAAAAATGAGTCATTTGAGATTTAGCCATATCCATACTCAACAAACATGCACTATTTGGCTGCAGAAGCTAGGAATTTCAAAACTTACATAGCACACTATTTAGCTTTTGAGTACAGAGCCACATGAGATTCAGCTTGGGTTTGATGCTACTTCTGAATGAAACACGGACATTTGAAGCGTGTAAGCCATACAAGGGGCATTCTTTAGACTTTTATATTCCCGTTTTACAGTAAATCGTATGGTAAGTACATTAATTCATTAATGTTGGAGTTGTTTAGCATCTTTTAGCCTGTTAGGTAGCTGACCAACCCAGTTCTAGTTAAGAAAATACGTCATCAGCCATTCAATATAAATAAAAACTGTCATCAGTACACTCGGTGATCCATTCCAACAGCATTAAAGTCAAAGATTCTTCCATTAAACAGTACAAGGATTGTTCATGACATGGCACAGTAATTCATACTTCAGTTTTTGTGAGAAGGTGCATATATAGTGGATTTTACAACGGCTTTGCCAATCAGATTTTAGGACCTGAACTATCCGTTTTATAATGGTATGTTTAAGGGTTGCTGTCTTGCTGTAAGATTCACCTTCAGTTCACAGGTGGGTGTCCAGTCCACAGAAATTTCTAACCTAATTGTCCTCCAATTGATTGAACCTCAGGACTCCATTTATCCCATATACTGAACGGATTATTCGAGAGGTTCACATACTTTGTCCAACAAAAACATTTAATGTTGGATCATTTAGTTCAATAAACGAAAAGAAAAGTATATATTTTTGTGTTATTTGTTTCAAAGAGTGAGACGAAGATGTAATTACTCTTAAGGTGAAATACATGCTAATTACATAGTAGTTTAAATATATAAATTTAGAATGCTGAGAATTCTAAAAGGTTCAAAAACTTTCTAGCACCACTATCTGCCTTGATGTGATACAGTTTAAAATAGAATAAATGCTTACGTTGCTCTGATTTTTGGTCACTTCCTCAGCAAACACTGTCTCAACAGTCTGTGGCATCTTGGCATAAAGACATGCTTTCGCATCTTCCTTCTCTCTTTCTTCATAGCTTTTCTATTTCATAACAAAAGTAAAATATAGAAAACAAAGACAAAAAAAAGAAAAGAAAAAAGATTTCTTTAAAAAATTCAATCAGAAATTGCTAATTAAATTAATAAGACTAATCTCTCAGTGACATTTATTACAACTCCAAAAACATTTTAGGGTCTGGAATACCTACAGCTACCACACTCTGTTGTTGGGAAAAAAGATCTAGTGGCCATGTCATTTTCATGTTGCTTCAATTTACAGGTGATAACACCACCAGAATAGATGGCAACATTCCAACTGACTGTGAAAGCAAGACAAGCTCGCTCCACTCAGTTTCACAATCAAAATTTACCAAATCCAGACACCAGTACAGCACTCATGCTGCCTTTTTTTACTTTCTGTCTCTTCTTGACTGGACACACAAAGAATAAAGGACTCTGCAACAGAATATAATCAGCTGTCTGAGACACCAAAAAGTTTGAGACACAAACTATAGCCCATCTTTTGTCTTCCACAATTTGTCAACCACATTTAGTCAAATTCTTAGCACAGGACTGCTGTCGACCAGATACATTTTCATCACAACAGTGGCACTTAGATGACAATAACATGGTAGTGGGTATAACGCTGATAACCGCCACTAAATCAATACACAGAAATTATCTTTTTTTCCTTGTCTATTTTGTACGCTCTAGTCCATTTTACAAAACTCCAGTCCCAGAATTTAATTTTCATATGCAGCAGTAAGTTGTCCTCCACCACACAAGTGAACGTCACACTAGATGCTAATTTATCGGAAAAACACCATCAAAAGCAGCATTTTTCATGTTTATGTTAAGTTTATTGATCATAAGGTCTTTTCACAGTCAGTTTTTAAAGACTGAACGCACTGAAACCATGTCAAGTCTGACGCACTTTTTGATTTAACACTGAGAGCATTGGATGAACATGCAGAGGAAGGAGAATTAGATTTATTGAGTAGAAACAGTGATGAAGTTATTTTTCTTTTAGCCAGTGCGAATCGGACGCTCACAGGAGCTGAAGCTCTATGATGGCCACCTCAGGACTGAGCTCGAATGTGTGGTGGAGTTTGAGGCTCTGCTTCAGCTTGATTCAAGCATTAAAATGAGCAAGCAAACTACAAGAACGACAACGAGCTCTCGTGATAGACTGCATTAGTGTTTAATGCTTACGTTTTCAAAGTTTGCATTTTTTTGTCAAGAAAGGTTCTGTGATTAAAATCAAACTGACCATTAAGCAAACCGACCACTGATGAAGGCTTAATGGATGGCTAACACAAATTGAACAGATGGGCTACAGTCTCTAACTGCACACCAATAAGGTGCACCTACAAGGAACTTCTTTTTAATGAAATAGCCACTAAGTGTATATCAAACAGTCAGATACTATGGAGAAAAAGTTAAGGGCATTAAGGAAATATCCATCCCTAACCATAACAATGACAGTACAGCCTAACGCATGGTTAATACTCTTTAGCTTATCAAAGACAATGTGAGTACATGTGTGTGTGTGTGGGTGTGTGTTTATGTATGTACCTTGCTGTAGAGCTGAGAAAGCTTCTTGGCATGCTGTGTTTCTCTGGTTTTAGGCAGGAGAGCATAGAGGCAGTTGGCAAGCTCCTTTTTCCCTTCCTGTTTATATGTGTACTGGTTTAGAACAGAAACAAAAAATTACTCATTTCTTTCTAAATGCACTATACACTGATATAAAAAAACCCTTGCCAAAATAATATTATTTGGCAAAGAAAAGAAAATTGCTGTTGGGAAAACAACAAGTCCAAAAATAAATAAATAAATAAACACTCCCTCTTTTGTTCAATTGCTTTTATAGAACAGTTCTGCCAAAAGATTATATCAAACATGTTTTTTATTGCCAGTTTTGTTCCAGGCTGTAACTCAGGGGCTTAAGCAGGTTGCAAATGCAAAGTGGTTTTATTAGGAGCAGTTTCATTGTCCATATAACAGGCAGCAAAGTGGGTGTAGTGCTATCACTGTATTATGGCCAATCAAAATCTGCCAAACTCAGCCTTATTTTCCTCAACCCTCCAATCACTGAGACCGCTGCTATCCGCAATTACTTCAATATGTTATCAGTGGCTATAATGTTCGTACTTAGATTTAGGACACCGAGGTCCTCTGAAGTTTCTAAAGGGTTTTATGGGATTCAGTGTGGGGATACTACCCAATGAGCTGTGACTGATTCTCAGCTGACGTCAGAACAGCTGTGGTTTGGCCCTACTCTGCCTACTCTGTTTATCTCTGTACGAGACTCTACACACCCCTCAGTACCAGTGTAACTTTGACTTCTTGAGATGTTCAGGTATGCAGCACACATGCTATAGGCTAACATGTAATATTGCTATGGTAAAAACATAGAGTTTATGAACGCAATTAAGATTGTAAAATGCAAAATCTGTATTTCATTTTTCAGTTGGACTGCTCTTAATGTTGCTAGCTTAAATCAGCATGCTTTACCCTAGCTCCAGTAGCTGCTTAGTTTAGCCTACAGGCTCCGTAGTCGGCCATATTAGCGATTAGATGAGAAATTAAAGCTGTATTGTGTTACCTGCACATAACATAATACAGCCGCATGAGAAAGTTTACTGTTAACCAGCATATTAATGGTATAGTGTCATGTTGCTAACATTATTAAGAAATCAGCTGGTACATTAGACTGTATTTTGCCTCATTAACCATATAAGAAGCTACCTTTCCCATTAGCTGGGGTTTGGTACAGACAGACTTTTATAATGTATGTTTAGGGTGTGCTTTTTCAGTAATCAGTGAGGACAGAGATGCAAGATAGATAGAGAGAGAGAGAGAGAGAGAGAGAGAGAGAGAGAAAGAAAGAAAGAAAGAAAGAGAGAGCTAAATGAAGTAAAATTAATTTGAAGCTATCACTTTGTTGAGTGAAGCTTTCAACACGTATTTTCAGCTAATTTTTCAAAATACACATAAATAAACAGTTATATAATTAATTGAATAAAGAGGATAACTGTGGAGTCAAATTAGTTTATGGAAGAGTAGAAGCAGTTTATAGATGAAGGAAAAGAAAGTTTATAGAAGAAAAAGAAAGAAAGAAAAAGAAAGAAAGAAAGAAAGAAAGAAAAGATGCATAACAGTTATGGATGGGTAAAAAGGAACAATGATATGGTTGACTAAAAAATAATAATGATAATGATAAAAAAACCTAAAGGAGAAACTTATGGTTGGTGTAACACTCATATTCGGCAGTTAGCTTATTTACTACAAGATGTAGGTCACATTTCTGCAAAATGGACCTCACTAAAATTATGATCCTAGTTACGGCCCTGATGACACCCATCAATTTTGAACTTACTGACCTTTTTTTTTCCATCTGTTAACTCGTTTTGCATTTGGACCATGGTTTGCCAGTTGACGCACCCTGCTGTACAGCATTTCACGGCCCATCTTGTTTGCCAAATTGTATTCTGTTAATTTCTAGCTAGTTCCAGTCTGCTTCAGAATCTGATGTAAGCCTGCTATCATACATCTTCCTTAGAAACTGACAAAACTGCCTGCAGGTCAAAATTACCTAATAGAAATCGTCTATTGTGTTCATTTTCAGGTTTTGAATGTTCTAAATTCAAAACGTAGTAATGGTTACCTGCAGCATAAAGTGAGACATGCTTAGCCGAATGATAGAGTTATTGTGAAAAAAAACTTGCTGTTTTTATTTTGTGGAAAACATTGATGATGAGAGTGGACAGTGTTTCCAAACCTATGAACAGTGATTTCAAACTTTTGAATAGTAGTGTATAACCTTTTTTGAAGTAAAGAAAGTAAAAGAAAAGATTATGTTTAATAACAAATCATTAAGCAATAACAGTAATTCATCAATGTCGTAAATTTAGTGGCTTAATACAATCAAATAGAATGCAACAATCCTCCAACATGCAAAGGCGCAGCCACGGATAAGCCTAGGCCAGACTGATCACAGATCTATTCCATCAAATTTGAAAAATATTTATGGTGCCACATTTTTTTAAATAATGAATTCTGATTTTTTTTCTGTGAGCACTGTCACTGTTGTAAAATGAAGACGCTCTCTCTCTCAAGCTCCACCTTATTCTCCTTAGCTCTCCCATCAATGCTTAGCAACTGTTGCTTTGTATCAAGCCTTCACTACATTATCTGCGCCCATTGAGATGTTCAGGTATGAAGCACCCATACAATAGGCTAACATATAAGACAACAGTGTGATATAAACATAAGCATTTATGAGAATAATTAACTGATTAGATCTGTAAAATGCAAACCCCATAACATGTTTTTATATGGACCACCTGTAACATTGCCAGCTTCATCAGCAAACTTTAGTCTAGTTTGAGTAGCTGCTCAGTTTAGGCTAATGTGACAAGCTCTTTAGCTGGTTATATTAGTGAGTAAATGAGAAATGAATGGTAGTTAAAAAGTTTTTGTATTGTGTTACCAACATATGTTGTACAACAAGCAAGAAAATTCTCTATTTAATCTCAGATTAGTGACACAGTATATAATGTAACATAATGCAGAGATCAACAAGTAAACGGTATTATGTTTCGTTAATTGGGACTTGGTAGAGACAGACTTTCAAAACATAATTTTAATGTATGTTTTTGCAGTAATCATTGAAGACTATTATGTAAGAGAGAAAAAGAGACAAGTAGAGAGACAGAAAGAGGTCAATTTAATAAAATCAATGTGAAACTATTACCTGATTCAGTGAAGGTTTCAACATGCATTTTTAGCTGTATTTTCAGAAAACATTTTTCATGCCCACCATGGCAATTTGCTTCAGCGTACAATGATTAGGTTTCGGTGTTCAAGTTCGCAGTGTCGTTTTTCCTCGTCTTTGTGTATCTCAGCTAGCTGATTTCAACGTAATTCAAAGTAATTATGTCATATTCGTCAGGCACAAGTTGTGCCTTTGGTGAGCGCATGCTTTATACAGATGGGTGCTGTTGCTTGGTGAAGGAAAGTGTTAGTTGGATTTATATGAGTCCAGCCTTCTGGTTGATGTCAGCAGACACAGTCTTGATGTTTTATATCAGTACGGAAGCATTAGAAAAGGCATAATGGTGACTGCCCTGCTGTTAGCAATAGGCTTTAGCCTATGTTATGACACTGCATGCCTGGAAATTGTATCTACCAAGTTGACCTACCCACTTTTTCTCAGGCCTACCCAAAGATGTATTTCTGCCTACGCCGCTACCACCATGTAGTGTAACGTGTTCCCTGGCTTGTTACTGAACCAAGCTCCATATTAAAAATTTTGATTTCAGAAGAAACATTGGATGAGCAGGTGTCTACAAATTTTGAAATTGAAAATCAAATTTCTTTTTCAAATTTGTTTGTCTTCTAATGCTGCAACTTGTGGTGCATACCAGCAAAACAAACGAAGCATCAATTATGTCACAATTACCCATTAAGTTGGGCACACAATTTTTTAAACCCTAACAAATTTCTGAAACATCACAAACTTAATGTCACTCTTTCTTGTCTTTTTGTCATAATGGAGCACACAATAGATGATACAGCAGACTGAGGGTGTCACTTATCACATAATACAAACAAAGCAAAACTGGACCGGACCTGTTTGTGCTTTCATGCGTGGCATGTTAAAAAAGCTCAAAAGGAAGGCTAAAGATTGACTCATTTGCGCACTCACGTTACCAGAACATCTGTGCCGTCAGTAGCTTCGGAAGGGGAAAATCGGTGCAAAGATCATGTAGTGTAGGCCCAGCTTTATGCATCATGCAAAGAACACAGGTGGTCAAAGATCACTGTGAAACCCACCTCACTCAGTGCAGATGCCAACTCTTTAGCAAACTGAGTCTGAAGTGTCTTGGCCAGCTGAGCGTAGAGGCAGTTAGACTGTTCCAGCTGAGTTTCTCTTTTGTACTTATTCTAGGAAAAAAAAATTAAGTGCTGGAAAAAAGTTATGTACATATTTTTAATGTATTTTCAAGAAATCATTGTGATAAGAATGCATGTTTGAGAGAACACACAAAAAAGCAACATGCATAGAACTGAGAGATTAGTCTTGTGACTCACCCCCACCCAACTTAACCACCCAACACACAATACACACACACGTCTGGTCATGTACCTCACTCTGCAGTTTGGCCATCTCTTTGGCAAATTGCGTCTCACGTGTTTGTTGCAGATAGGAGAAGCTGCTAGTGGAAAGCTCCTCCTTACCTTTCTGCTTGTACTTGGTCTGAAATGTCAAGGGTCACAAGACACTTCTATATTCAGGTCAAAGCTTGCACAAATTACACATTGTGTGAGGATTATTATAGCTTGCTAACAAGCCACTACAGCATGTTAACATTATCTTGCTAAACCCTTCAGTTAGTAAGTTTGAAGTATAGCACATGAACATTAAAGACATTAATGCTGCAATTATATTTATCAGCAAATAGGTTTCAAGCAAAATCACCTCAGCTGGCATTACAATCAAGTGGCCTTTTTTACTTACTGCCAGCAGAAGCGTTGTAAATTAAATGGATACAGTGTCAGCTGCAGAACAGAGAGCCAGTCACAGTGAACAAGGCTTTCACTGAGATAGGAAATATATATTTTAGTTTATTATTAAGTTGGTTAAGATGGTTCTTCAATGGCTCTTTAGTAAAGACAATGGTTCTAGATAGAACCATGAACTCTCAAAGAACCATTTGCAAGCTTAAAGCATTGTTTTCATTGTGAAATGTTTTTTTCAGATTGATGGAGAATGTATTTTATATGGATCAATAAAGAACATTTTTGAAAAGGGTTCTATATACTGTCAAAAGGGGTTCTGCTATTTCTACAGTGTCAAGCATGTAACAATAGAAGAAACTTTTTTGATTTTACATAGAACCCTTGTTACAGATTTACCTCTGTTCCAGTATTTGCATTTCAGGTTTGGTTATGAGGCGATGTAGTTTTATACATCCAGGCTTCTAGGGGGAGCCAGTTCATCATTCAGTGTCTCTAGTATCCCATAAAATGGTGGCAAAGAAGAAGTTGAGCAGCATGGTGACTCCAACAAGCAAGCATCTGTTGTTGTGCAGAAGCCCCTGCTGTTCAACTTACACAGTCCTTTGTTTGAAGAACTTACATTCTCTTTTCATTCAGTGAGTGTTTTTTCTTTTTAACTCGAATGTGTTGAGGATTGGTTGAGGTTTATGCTAAAGCTAAGGTTTATGTTAGCAGGCCATATTTTCAGTTTTTCAGCTGTAAATTCATTTTAAAATACCTGTGTTTGCAGAAGGACTTTTTTGGTGCTTATTTGTGAACTGCTGGTGACAAGAGAGGCATTTAAGGGGAGAAACCTGAGAAGATTCAAAGAAAGGGGTGTGATGGACATTCTACTGTGGGGTTAGCTCGTTATCACACAGCTTCCACTCATCTCTGTCTCTCCAAAAAGGACTGGTTTGCTATGTTTTTTTTTTTTATTTTATTTTAAATAACACTTTGGGACTCTTGAGTGAGGCCTCAGGCTCACATGGACTCAATTAGACTTTTTTTCTTTTTTCTTCTTTTTGTATTTGTGTGTGTTGGCTGTGTTGTGGAACTGAGGTTGTGGGTTAAATGGATGTTTCTTATGTCTGTGTAGAGGTGGGGTTGTCTGATTTACATTGCATGTTCACCATTTCATCATTTCAATAACACCAGAAAAAGGTACACCATCTTTGTTATATTTCTCATTTGCTTGTTCATTCAGAGTATAGTCCAAGACATTCTTGTTCCCTGTGTTTTATATAGATTCGGTAGGAAAAGGGTCCTGCTGGGTGTTACACCCTTATATAATCCTATAGAACCATATAACAATATATTCTCTATCAAGCTGAAGAACCACTTTACAATGCAAAGAACACTGTAAGCATACATATGGTTCTTTGAGTGTTTGTTTGTGCTAACTGCTGCTAAAGTTGAATCCATCCATCCATGCATCCATGCATCCATTCATCCATCCATCCTTGTAAGGGGCCGGTAAGTTAGCTAGCATTTTGATGTAATCTCATCTGCACTGTCCCTGTTTTTTTTATTTTTCAGTGTACCCTTGCCCTTCAAACAGCATGAGTCCACCACTGCAGCCAGTTCTTGGTTGACAACAGAAGTCAGGCTAACAAACAAAACAAAACAAACCACAAGCAATACAAAAAACACAAACAAAAACCTGATAAGCAGCTGCCCAAAATGCACACAGCGTTCTTATATCACAACGTACCCTCATGGAAGAAAGCTTCTTTGTGATACAGTAAGCTAATACATAAACTGCGAACTTTACTGAAAGATATGAAGGTGCTCAGGCTGACAGCACACTAAAACTGCTGTATTAATGGAAAAAGTAAGGAATACTCGTCTTTTTGCACACACCTAATGATTTTGTTTACAGTGACAGCCAGATACAGTCAGTAGTGCTGTAGTCAGTAGTACATAGCAATTTTATACGTAAAAACCTTGTAATTGGTCATGTTGACTATGTTATGTCAATCTTGTTATTTGCCAAGGAAATTCACAGCCATTAGCATCACAGCTGTTTACACTTCCCTGAGTGCTAGCACAAAAGATGCACTATCCACACTGTAACAGTCTGTCAGCACAATGCAAAATGCCAACCCAGACTGTGTTTATATTATCACTGGAGACTTATATCAGGCCAACCTGAGGTCAGTACTACCAAATTACTATTTGGTAGGTTATTTTACCAAATAACATGTGGACTTTGCAACCAGGGGAGAAAACACACTGGATGGGGTTCACACAAACATCAAACAAGCATTCAGGGCAGACCCCCACCCCAACCTTGGAAACTCAGACCATCTCTCTGTTATGCTAATTCCAGCATACAGGCCACTGTTAACCAGAAACAAGCCAACACGTCAATCTGGGGGAGTATGCTGAGTCTGTGACGGGATTCATATCCAAGTGTGTGGAAGATGTGACCGTCATCAAGAATATCACCACATGTGCCAACCAGAAACGGTGGCTCATCAGAGAGGTACATGTGCTTCTGAGAGCACTTAATGCTGCCTTCAAGTCTGGGAACAAAGATGCTCTTAGATCTGCTAGAGCCTACTTGAACAGGAGTGTGAGAGCAGCAAAGCGTGCTTATGGTCAGAAAATCCAGAGTCACTTCACTGACTCAAAAGACCCTACGCGCATGTGGCAAGGTATCCAGTCCATCACAGACTACAGGTCTCCCCCACCACCACCCTGTGATGACAATACTGACTTCCTCAACACACTCAATACCTACTTCAGCCGGTTTGAGGAAAAGAACACTACCACAGTAACAAAAGCCCCTCTCAGTCTGGAAAATGAAGTACTCTGTCTCGACCCAGCTGATGTCTGGAGGACCTTACACAGGGTCAACCCATGGAAACTGACACATGTCCTCACAGACATCTATAACACCTCCCTGAGCCAAGCCATTGTTCCCTCGTGCTAGGCCACTACTATCATACTACTGCCAAAGAAGTCACCAGCATCAATACTCAATGACTACCACCCTATAGCACTCACTCCCATCATGATGAAGTGCTTTGAAAAGCTGGTCAGAGATCACATAACATCCAGACTCCCGACAATGCTCGACAAACTTCACCTGAGTCTGGCCCATCTGGAGAATAAGAACAACCATGTTCAGATGCTCCTCATTGACTTCAGCTCCGCCTTCAATACGGTCTTCCACATGCACTTGAAACTCAGCCCATTAGAAACCGACACCCCTACTGTGCAAGTGGTTACTGGACTTCCTCACAGACAGCCCCCAGACAGTACGAGTTGGAAGAAACACCTCTAAAACCATCATCATGAACACTGGAGTCCCCCAGGGCTGTGTGCTGAGCCCTCTGTTGTTCACCCTGATGACTCATGTCTGTTGTGCGAAGTACAACTCAAACCACATTATTAAGTTCCCAGACGATACAACGGTGGTGGGCCTAATCAGCAACGACGACGACTCAGCCTACAGAGAGAAAGTGAACCAACTCGTCATCTGGTGTGACAATAACAACTTGTCACTAAATGTCGACAAGAAAAAGGCAATTATTGTCGACTTCAGGAGGAAGCACATGGTACATACTCCACTTACAATCCATGGTAAACCAAGTTTTTGGGAGTGCTCATCGCAGACAAACTGACATGGACTACACACACCACCTCCCTTGTTAAGAGGGCACATTCGTGCCTTCACTTCCTACGATGGATAAGAAGAGCAAACCTCCCCCCTTCTATCCTCATTACTTTCTACAGAGGCACTATAGAGAACATCCTGACCAGCAGCCTCCCAGTGTGGTATGGCAGCTGCACCGCCGCAAATCAGGGGCCATATTACAGAAAATTCTTAAGTCTGAGATCATATCTGCTTTGTGTCCTGGCAACTTCAGTTAGGACTGAAGTTAAGGCAGAAACTATTACACAGCAACAGTTCTTAAGTCTATAATTTTATCTTATAGATAAGAAAACGGTATTACAGAAATATCCTAAGTTGCCAAAATATCCTAAATATTTTCTTAACAACCCCAGAGCTGTCTTAACTTCTGTTTTAATCGCCTGTTTCTTTTTTTCTGATTTTTTTTTTACCCAATTTTCTCCCCAATTTTGTCATCTCCAATTCTACCCGCTAGTTAGGACTCATACATACGTTTTGTCCTGTGATTATTCTTCTCTCGAATAACACTGGATCCTCCGAAATATGAGGTTGTTAAAGAGTTGAAATATGAATATTGCTACATGTGAGCTAAAGCTACTGTGCACTGAATTCATGTCATTAGACTGACAGCCTCCTTAAGCAGGTTATCATCCTCATATAAACTGATTTAGGCTCTCAGAATATCCTAATTTTTATTTTAATGCTGGTAACATTTTTTGCTGAGGACATTTTCTCAGGAAATTCGCCAGCTTTTTGTTCGACTTTTCCCGTTCCACCTTAAATGGCGCAGCAGTCACGTTCTGAAATGCTGCACCATTTAAGGTGGAATGGGAAAAGTCGAATAAGCAGCCGGCGAAAAAGAAGGGGGGGGGGCATCCTAGAGAGACTCCCTCTAGCACTCCCGGCCACAGATGGCTGTAGCATCACGTGGGATCAAACTCGCGATCTCCTGATTATAGGGCCAACGCTTAGAAGGTTGCGCCACTCGGCAGGCAGCACAGTTTACTGTAACTAGCATGATGACGCTACATTTGTGTACATTGAAAACGGTGCTTAGACTTGTGAGGTTTTTTTTTAAGAACTCAAGACTCTGCAGACACGATCTCCACTGTCCCCTTATTACCATCGGGTGTTAATGTTTGATAAAAACTCGTTAGATATAATATTACAGTGATGGTGGTGAATAATGAGGAGACAGAGCTGAACGTGTGTCTCTTTATTAGGAGGAATAACGTTACTGCGCTCGGCTAGAGCGTTTGGAAATGAAACTGAAACCGGGGAGCAGCGACGCTCTGGAAACAGCACGAAGCGCTGACACAATATTATTAACTTTCAGTTTATCACGCTTTAGTTTTATTTGACCTTTTTTACTTCAGTAACGGTAGCTAACGTTAGCTGTCTGGCTAACTAGCTAAGTACATGTTTACGTTTAAGCTGTGCGTGGATGGCCGGTTGCTACGTAACAGACACGACAGTTAATTGTTAACTTCAATCGAAACGTTAAGATTTCCTAACTTGAAATGCTGTAAGATAAGATTCTTAAATTAAGATTTGCTTCTGTAATACGAATTTGTGAAAAATCTTATACTGACCTGTCAGATCTTAAGTTAAGACAGAAAGACAAAAAGGAAGTTTCTGTAATATGGCCCCAGAAGTCCCTCCAGAGAGTGATGAGGACGGCAGAGAGAATCATCAGAACCCCACTTCGGTCGATACATGATCTCTACCCTTCACGCTGCCTCAGCAGAGCCACCAAGATAGTTAGAGACCCCACCCACTCTGCCCATTGACTGTTCAGCCTTCTGCCCTCTGGCAAACGCTAACTAACCACAGCACATGGTGCAAGACTTAGCAGGAGGTTCTTCCCACAGGCCATTAGATTACTTAACTCCCTCTAACAATACACAACATGCTGACCTATCAGGACTGGTGAACTCCTGAGCATACACACAGACTGTCTGAACATTTCTATTAGAACTTTGTCTTAAATATAAAATTGCAGCTAATTTTTTCTGTGCAATATTTACAGTGTTCTCATCACTTGAGCACTTTATCACTATTCACCAGTGTCAAGTTTACATTTCCTGTTACACCGTGCAGTAATACTATCATTAAGAACAATGTGCAACATTTTTCTATACAATGTGCAATGTTTCTTTTATATATATATATATATATATATATATATATTAGAGATGAAACGATATTAAAATTTCATCACGATTATCATGACCAAAATTATCACGATGTTCAAATGTGTTTAAAAGTAAAATAAATTAAAAAATAAATACTGATACACAAACTGAAACTCGTTTCACCAACTTTTATATTAACACAAATAGAATTGGCAGCAATATGCACTTTCTGTTTGCATAAACATTAAAAAATAAGGTCAATACAATTTTAGTATTACTTTTGTATTACTTACAATACTTGTAATACTCTGTAAACAAAAGAATAGCAAATGTATTATTATTACTGTTATTATTACTGTTATTATTCTTATTATTACTGTTGTAATTATTTTATTATTATTATTATTATTATTATTATTATTAGTTACAATAACTAGGGATTTCCCTGCATAGAGAATTAAATCTCGACCAACTCTGAGGTGGGTCTTAATGGAAAATTACTACTTCTAAGAAGTGTTGCACTCGGGGGATTTCTGTCCTAACTGCAACTGCAGTATTATTGTGCCATTGTGGCGCTGTACCCCTAATCAATACAGTGCACCAGGAAAAACAGCCAAAATCACAGAGGAATTGTGTGACCGTGCTGTGAGCTGCAGACAGTGTACAACTCACACAGCGTGTCTTCACCTGTGGAGCTGCTTCTCTAAAAACATTTAAAACTAAAACATAACTTAAAATTAACGCGCATCTGAGCTGCGGCAGAAACACTCCTAAAGTTTAATCTCTGAAACTCTGCTTTTCCTAAAAGCAGCACACAGTGTTTACTCGCGCGAGGTCCCGTCTCAAAGCACACTATCTTCCCTATGTAGTGCACTTCGTGGATCATGAAATAGCAAATCCTTCACCCAAAGAGTGCATGGAATGTTCGACTAAGTCATCTATAATCAACTTTAACAACAGGTTACAAATTCCCTATTTAAAACTCAGCTGCTTGTTAATGATGATCGTGTTTGAACAGTAGCGCCCTATGTAGGGGACATTAAGTGATTTGAGACAGTGTTATTCTCTTCTCAGACAGTAACCACTGCAAGCGAGATGAGAAAGGGGAGCTGTGCAGATTGAACTTCTGCAGCGTCTCGTTAACTCAGAGCTCATTTTGGAGACTCTGCTCCACAGAAATGTGTTAAAAGCTTTAGTATCGATTCACAGTTTTTTTTTTACTCAGAGCTTCATTTTATATTATTAACGAACCATAAACATAAGTTAAACCACACAAACCATGACATTTGTTCTATTTCAAAGTCCCCACAGACTTCTCTGTTAAAGTTAACCTTGCATTCTTGCAAGTAGCGGGTGGTGGTCGCGAAGATGACTCGTAAGGTTTGATGTGTTGCCCCCTTTCGCCGCTTTTTTCTTTCGGCTTGTTCTGCAGACAGGGTGGTCATCTTCAATTAGCTTTACTTCTGCACCGTTATAAACCCAAAACATGACCAAACGTCTAACTTGGTCTTCTTAGAAGGCTGAAATATCTCAGAATCTCCGAGTTTTTCACACAGCGGTAATCAACCGCGGTTTTAACGATACTTTAAAGTTCAAACGGTACTACTAACCGTCATTAATTTTACCGCGATTTACCGTGAAACCGGTAACCGTTTCAACTCTTATATTTATATATATAAATATATATATATATATATATATATACACACACACACACGTGTGTATATATATATATATATATATATATATATATATATATATATATATATATATATATAATATATATATATATATGTATATGTGTGTGTGTGTGTGTGTGTGTTGCTCTGACTGTCTTCACTTCTCTTGTTGCTGGCTGTCCACTTCCTCTTTTACCTTTAAATGTTCCAAGCATAATTATCTTTTCCAGTGAATTTGTTCTTTTAATAATATGTCCAAAATAAGATTCAACTTCTGTAGTCTAATATAACAAGTACAGTGTATTACATTTCTTCTGTTTAATAAGCTGCATTGCACATACAGCCCATTAGGACAGAGTGTTGTGTGTGTTTTTTTATTAATGTAGTGCAGAGTGAAGTGTAGTAATAATTAGGAATTTTCATACACAATGCTTATTAATCAAATACAAAAATACAAAATATCAACACTGGACAGACGTTAAGATTTGACTTATATTTTAAATATTTGTATTTATTGCACTTCAGCTAGGCAGAACATTTAGGTGACTTATCCCTCCCATCATGCTTAGCAGTAGGTGTAGGAGCCAAACCATAAAGACCATCTTTTGCAATGTGTGTAAATATAAATAGTTAATTAACTTTTTATGAAGAAGTGTATATATGTATATACTGCTGCTTAATATAGTATTAAGATGCCAGAAGTGATATTTGTACTGATTATGTAGATACAAATGTCTTCAGGCACCATTTGTTTATGTTCAGAAAATAGGTGCACTGTCACTTTAAGAGCTAAGCTGCTACGGTGCTGGGCAGGACATGTTTTAGGCATTGGGGAGTGAGCTGCAGAGGATACTGGTAGCAACACAGTTTTCTTACCGTGTTTAGCGTTACGGTTTGTGTTGCATCTTATATTTGGAACAACCTAACCATGGTTTGAAAGTTTTGTTTTAATTTATTTTCATCACGTTTACAGTCTGGAATAAACTACCGTTTTTGTTCATTCGTGCACGGATTCCTGTGGAAGTTTCCTTTTCTTCCCTGAGTAATGCAGACACGAGTAAAGTTGCTTCAGCCACCACAGAACTATGTTCAGCTCACACAGTAGGTTTTATATGTTTTACAAAGACTAATTTTAGGTTAACTGTGGCAGTGAGTTTATTCTGCAGGAATGTGCTAAATACATTTTTTGATTTATTTTAGTTTCTATATTACCTGTTTGTATAATTTTGTTTGTGCTGTAAACAGAATACTTAATTGAGATCCCAGTATAAATAATGATTAAACAAACAAACTCATAAATAATGTACCAGCAGTGTAATTACATTTGCTCATAATGAACCCACCTCACTTAGTAGTTCAGACATAGTTTTGGCAAACTGAGTTTCTGTAGTTTCTGGTAGCAGAGAGTACAGGCAGTTTGACATCCCTGCCTCGCTTTTCTCCTTGTATTTATTCTAGGAATAAAACTTTTAATCATTATTTTCACATGAACCTGGACAGAATACACCAAACAAATTGTATTAACAGAGTACATTAGAGCGAATGTACGTTGGTGTTGTTCACATAAGGATGTCTACTATACCTCGCTCAGAAGCTGAGACACTTCTTTAGCATGCTGTGTCTCTCGTGTTTCTCGTAAAAGAAAGTAGGAAGCCGAAGATAGTGCCTTTTTCCCAGACTGCTTGTACTTTGCCTGAAACAAACAAAAAAAAAAAACTTCCATTTGTTAATTTTCGGGACAGAAGGTAATTGTCATGGCCATCTTGTCTTCAGCCACTGGTGCTTAAGGATGGCATAAGCACCCAATGAACAAGGATGAAAAAAAGTATAGAGAAACTTCTATGGGTACTGTGTCAAAATCATAAATCGACAATTAAACATATTTGAGTATATAAAAGCACAAAGTAAATGTCCAGAAAGTTACACAGTGTGCTCCTGAGGTGGTATGAAATAAATGAACTGTCAACAACTACAAAAGAGAAACTAACAGTTCAGTTATGAAGAGGTAATGATATTAATAAAAAATAAATAAATAAACAATCATAATAATAACAACATGACCTAACTCTTAGACTATCTGCAACATTTCTGTAGTTCACAGCAGAAAACATATGAATATGGTTCTATATGGCACCAAAAAGGCTTCTTCTATTGTTATGTCAAACTTGTAACAATAGAACAGCCCTTTTGTTGCTGTATAGAACTCTTTCCAAAAAGGTTCTACATAGAACCATCTACAACCAGAGGTGGCAGAAGTCCCTTACTTAAGTAAAAGTACTAACAATCTAGTAAAAAAAAAATAAACAAACAAAAGTTGATGTACAACTTAAATTTGTTACTCAAGTAAAAGTATAAAAGTACATGCTTATAAATGTACTTACAGTAAAAAAGTACAAGTATTTTTTATCATTGCTAGTTAAATTTTTTAAAAAGAATATCTTGATTGAGGGTTAGAGGCACACATCTGTGAAACTGAGCATACATAACAGTCATAATAATTCATACTTGAACTGCAGACATCATCTACAAAAATCCACTTGTCTAGAGCACCCAAACCTGTTTACATGTTTCAGTTCCTTTACAAGAATTTGAGATGGACATTGTTGGAATCTCAACGAAGAAAAAACTGTTGATTTTTATTTTAACAGTGAACACCAGATCAGATCATTCATTTATGTAAGGCCAGGGCCGGAGTGGGATTTGTTTTCAGACCAGGAGTTACATGATACAGACCAGCCCACCCCAAACCCCACACACACACACACACACCCACACTCATGTCCTGCAATATCATTACATCAGGCTATAGGCTGTCAGCGGTACAGTAATTGCTGTACATATTCCAGCACTTCCACCCTGATACAAAACAACCAATCAGAAAGCTGGATTCACACAAACGCAGCCAACACTGCAGCACCTTCACTATTAAGCATGCTCATTACAGACACAACTTCTGCCCAGAAAAGATGAAAAGTTTTAGTCAGACAGTTAAACCTTTAAAGTTAAAGTTACAGATGTACAAACTTAAAACCTACTAATTATCGAAGCCAAAAACACAGGTTGCCACAAAGGGCAGACTTGATGAAGACGACATGAACGTTAGAAAATAATAGAATAGAATACAAACGTTAAATTAAACAGCTGATGTGTAAAGACAAAGAAAAAAAAACACAGCAATCTTAAACACCTAAACCTAATAATTGTAGGCAAAAGCATATTGCCATGGTGGATATGAAACATGTTCATGGTCTATTTAGAGTCTTACCTGTGATGACTTAATGCACTGAAGTAATGTTGGATGTTTGCTTTGACTTTTTCACAAACCCAAATCCGCAGAAAAGTACCAAATTTGCAGAAAACCGACCACGACGATGTTTTCGGCTTTGGACGGGAAGAAAACCAGTTCATCTTTTAAAGCAACTGGAGCTTAAAATTCACAAACTGGTGCCCTGATAATGAACTGAAAAATCAAAGCAAATATAATAAACTCAGAAGAGCTGCCCATTGTGTCAGCCAGCGGCAGACTGGATAATATTGTGGCCAGATTCACACAGTCGCGCTGATCTCTCGAGGCTGAAGTCATCTTATTCAAATTTCTGTTCCACCTTAAAAAGTCTGGCAGTTGCACGCTATCGTTCATCTAGGCATCTGAACGCAACTGCTACATCATTAAAGATGTGAAACTGAAGCTGTCTCAAGCTTCATCTAAGCTAACCCTAAATTATTGTATTACCGATATACACTTGAATGTCATAGTTTGAGCAGAATTCTCTTGACTCTCCTGATCACCCACTCCAGCACTGAGTAAGGCTGGGGACGCAGTTTTTTTTTTTTAAGATGCATCGTCCGTAAGCGCTAGCTCAACGCTGTTGCTTTGTATCTTTCTTTATTCCTTTCCCCTGTGCTCACGTCTGGGGCTTTGTAACCGTAAAAGTAGCCAATCACAGGCTCCGCTCCCCCTCTCTCAGTAGAATTTTGATTTGTGTGTTATTAGGTACCTGAATGTAACTGCATGATTAAAAATATATCATATTATTAATACATTAATAAATACATTAATAAGACTAAAGTAACAAGGCAGTTTGAAAATAGTAAGTAAAAAGTACAGATTTTTCTTCTAAAATGTATTGAGTAAAAGTAAAAAGTATTAAGTGACAGAAATACTCAAGTAAAGTACAGATACCTAAAAAAGTACTTGTACTTCGGTATTTGCCACTTCTCCATCAGTCGAAAGAAGCATTTCACCATGCAAAGAACCCATTAAACATGCAAATAGTTCTTTGAGTTGTATATAAACCCATTGTCTTTACTGAAGAACCGTCTTTTTAAGAGGGTACCATTTTTGTTCTTTTGTTATTGTAAGTGTGTAGATGAAGAAGGAGAGTGAAATTGTAGAGAAAAATAAGTTTTGAGATACGCTTTGAAGTATGTGACAGATGAACCTTCGTGAAGGGATGAGGAGAGATTATTCTAAAATTTAAAAGCCATGACACTAAAAGATCTGCTTCCAGTGGTGGATCCAGTGAATGTAGACCTGAGGATCTGACTTTGTGTGTAAGGGTGAAAAAACTCTGCTAGGTAAGAGGACCATACAAGACTTCGTAAGACAAGAATCTAAGTTTGTCAAAAGCTACTACTGAAAAGGGAAACACCAAAACTGGACATCTGAGATGTGGAGTATTATGGACTGATGAGTATAAATTTTAGACCTCCGGTTAATTGAAAGCGATAGTAGTTTATGAGCAATATTTAAATAAATATTACCTGAAAATCAGTGCGACAGGCACTAAATGAAATGTTTACATTCTATTTGCATCCCTGCGCTCCAGTTATCTGCCATCACATTAAATTTAATTAAAATTTAATTTAAATTAAATTTGCACATCTTTGCAACAATGCTGCCCAAATGTAATAATTTAATACACCTGTCCTGCTGGATTCAACAAAGTCTTTTGTTTTTCTTCTTTGTTTTATCTTGTCCTCTTAACCTCTTATGATTTTACCTGTGTAAAGCACTTTGCTGCAACAAGAGTTATTTTTAAATTTGCTATAGAAATTAATATAACTTACTACTTACTTACTTCTGGACACATCATCAGTGATGTCCTTGGAAGCATCGGCAGATGTACATAGATAATAATAATAATAATAAATATAGCCGCAAGCGGCAATGAGCGGGTTCAAGCATGCAAGAGCAGCATGGGCCCTTCTGCAGGTTTAGCCCATTAGGCCTAAAAAGGCCTCAAGCTTTTGGTTTAGCCCATTAGGCCTAAAAAGGCCTCAAGCTTTTCGTTTAGCCCATTCGACCTAAAAAGGCCTCAAGCTATGGGTCTTATTCATAGGCGGAGTGAATAGAACTGATAAGAAGTCAGTTCATCAAAAGGCCTTCAGTTTCCATAAACAAGAAGCAGTGGTGTTTTAAACACATTATAAGTTTGCATTCATATGTACTGATCTACACTGCTTTGTAGAACATCCAAGAAGTTGCACTTGCACAGTGGATTGGTTCTATATTTAAGCCATTGATTTGATGTAGGCCATAACGAGGCCCCAATGCACTCATAAAAGGCCCTATTGGTGTGAGGAGCTCATTGAAAGTGGGTCAGAATTAGTGAAAAGGCCACAGTATGGTATCATTCTTGATCAAGGACCATATCCAAAGACGTTCACTAAGTTTTGGTGAGAATGACCTTTTGACCTTTGTATAACAAGCCTTGGTATAGTGAAATCTTTGAATTAATAAGCCAAAATAAAAGACAAGCAGTGCAATTTTTGACATAACATGTAATTCGAAATTTGTTCATGTGAGTGAACTGAGTCACATGGCACCAATCGTTTATATGTCAACCTTGTAATAACATTGTAATAGCATTTTAATTGATTTTTAAGTGTTTTGGAGTGCTGAAGCGCCCCCTAAAGGCCAATCTGGACCAAAATTGGCATACTCCATTCAAGTCTAAATATGTACATATCTGTAAAGTTTGACCAATGAGTTATAGCAAATCAAGCTAGCAATGCCATGTTTTCAGTAATTAATTGGTTGATCCTCAATACACTGAGTGGAACAGTCAAAATGTTTTTGATAATTTTTGAGGATCAGTGTCTTCTGAATCTTATGGTACTAATTTGATGAAAATTGGCAAATAATCCTGAGACTAGTTTGCAAGAATAGGGTTTTCACATTATGCAAATTAGCTCAAAAACTAAGGGGCTGGGGCAAAAATTGACCAAGATGCACTTGTTCAGCAAGTCCCAAGGAATCAGCAGAAAAAAGAATTTTGTCTCTATCTCACTCTGATCAAAAGATACAGGCAAAAATACGTGTAAAGTTGAAAAAGATGAAAAATAGGAACATAGGACTAAAGTAAAGTATGAGCTCAGTGAAAGTGGGTCAGAATTAGTGAAAAGGCCACAATATTATATGATTCTTGATCAGGGGCCATATCCAAAGATGTTTACCAAGTTTTGGTCAGATTGACCTTTTGACCTTTGTATAATAAGGCTTCATATAATGTAAGCCAAAATACCAGACAAGCAGTACAATTTGTGACAAAACATGTACTTACAAAGTTGTTCATGTGAGTGACCTGAGTTGTATGGCACCATTTATTTATCTGTCAACCTTGTAATAACATTGTAATAGCATTTTAATTGATTTTTAAGTGTTTCTGAGTGCTAAAGCGCCCCCTAAAG